CATGTATATCAGATTTCAAATAAACAATAGCAACAAAAAAATTGCATATATACATGCTGCTTGGTTCTTGTTTTCTCAAAAAATGGCCATCTCAAAAACATCATTTTTTTTATGTTTTTTCTTTTCTCAAAGTGTTTTCTAATATGGTGGCATGGTTGATGTGGCTCAGTCAAAATCGCAAAAAAATTGAAAAAAAGCAATGAAAACAATAAAAACATAATGGAACCAAACACCACCTTAACTTTCATGACCACCTATACAAAACCCAAGGTAAGTATCTATTTTATATAGTATAATGTTAGTCCCAATATATGGGGTCTTGGGAGGGGTAAAGTGGATATGATCCAAACATTTATTTATTTATTGTACACAATGTACACCCTCCTATTTGAACCTATGTTTTCATGATTGCTGGCCTGAAATTTTACCATTAAACCAAGAAATGACTCCCTTTCACTTTGAAACCATTCATGAAACTCAAGGGATGCACAAGAAAAAAAGTTAATGAATAAATAAAATAAGGATGTGATAGTTAGAATAAAAAACCCGGGTTTGTTATGTACAAGTATAGTTAAATTTCAATTTAGAATTTTCTTTACTTAATTCATCAAGTCTGTCCTTTTTTATTAGGTCATATGTGAACATGGAATTCACAGACCATTCATTTTCAGCCCAAATTGCATGGAAACTCAATTAACTAAGTTATTAAGTACTGAGCTCCCCTGTCTTGTAGCACTTCCCATGCCACAAGGCAACAAGAGCAAAAGTGGCATGATGAGTTAAAATAATGAACTCCAAGCTATTTATACACTTAAAATGAAGTTATATGTTGTTTTTATTTTTTATTTTTACTTTAAAATGAAAAATAAATATTTGGCTAATTAATTTCACCCACAACCAATTCAACTAAGAAACTGAATGTAACGTGGGCATCTTTTTAACACCAGCCGTATATTGCACTCAAGTGATCTCTCTCTATATAGGGATGCTTGTGCATGCCTGCTATCAGTAAAAAAACAAAAAGATATTCCAACTGAAGCAATCATAATGTTGGTCTTAATATGGATCAAACATACATATATAAGGAATTAATATTTCCTGTACATCATCTTAAATTCATGAAAAGATATTCCAATGTATGATTGGATACGTATGTTGCATACTAGGGATTTTACTTCCAATAAATCTTACCTGGTGTAATAATAAAATACTAGCAGAAAGGGCCCGTGCTAAGCACGGGTAAATGGGAAGGCAAGGAAACAATTTCGAATAATTCTTTATTGAATAGTTGGGAGATTAAAAATGAAAGAGAAAGTTAATATAATTTTCAATTAAAAATCAAACTTCAATAATTTACACTAATTCTGTGCTACCTCATTTTTGGGATAAATAACTCAATTTATTCATACTTGTTAAAGAATGGATACAAGAGAGAGCCCTTTAAGTTTAAAATACCAGTAAGTTGGAGAATGAACATTAAAGTTTAAAGTTGGAGATGGCTCAACAATAAGACCATGCAACATGTCAAATGTGCAAACATTTTCTTTTTACAATTAAAAAAACTAAAAGCATAGATGGTTATTAATTATCGACATTCAGAATGGCAAAACTTGTTTGTCTCAGGGTTCAGTCATATTAATTATCCTCTTCCCTCTTCTCACTCCGTCCGCATTTTTTCTAAGTCCATTTACCTTCTGCATCTTTTTAGGAATTTGTTATTCTTACATACTATCACATAGAGCCCAGTAACTGTTTAACCAGTCCATTGCTAACCCGGGATGGAGTGGGGAGTTGGGGCATCCCCGAGCATTGACAAAAATTTCTAGCAGTCCTAACTTATAGTATTAACATTTTGGTGTGCTTTGATGAGCAACTTGTGTGCTATATATACTTCTATTACTCATTTGATTGGATGTGCTTACTTAACGGATAGCATGGAGTGCATTACACGTTTTATTTTTAACTCTCCCCATGGTTGCACTGTGTCTGCAAGTCTAGCATGTTGAAAATTGGTAGAATTAATCATGATATTCAAAGCCCGGATGATCGAAGTTGCAACTCCTGGGCATGAGAATTGGAATTGGCTCCCCAGGGTTCGGGCTTTCTCAAAAAAGTCTGATCCGAGTCTGAGTCCGACTTGATACTATATATTAAATAATAAATAAATATATATAATATTTTTTTTATTCTTATTCTTTTTTTTAAGTAATAGTGAGATGTTTATTATTTTTGAGTTTCAAAGGTTTTTAATATAAATAAAACACTTTTTATTGAATAAAAAAGAAAAAAAAAACTTTCTGCCCAGACTCGAGCTCAGGCTTAAGACTTGGGCCTGATGGTCGGGCTGGGCTGGGGCTCAGGCTTGAGTGTATTCTGTTGATATATATTCAAAGCATGGCCCGGCCCATGAACAGGTCTAGGTCTACCTAATGGATCCAAACTGATCGAACCAATTATAACAGTTCCAGTTCTACAATTTTGTCTCTATTAATAACTGAAATTTTAAACAAGAACTAACTAGAATTATGAGCCCGACCCGACCCATAAACAACACATGGCACTTTTTCTTATCAACAACATATTACATTTTTAATTATTTTTAATACAAAAACAATTACTAAATTTATTAACAATATTTATAATTTATTTTAAAGTAAAATTAAAGTAAATATCTATTTATTAACAATATTTATAATAACAGTAATTATTAATTATAATCACTAATTATATATTTATTAAATTACTGTAAGAATCGGTAATTATTAAGTTACAGTAATTAATTACTGTAATAATCACTAGATTCCATTGATATATATATAAAAGATATATCAGATTGAATACTATTGAGCATGAGTATGTGGTTTCAAGTCTTAGAACATTCACTTTGTGCAAAAAATAAAAATAAAATAAAATAAACAAATCTGGAAGGTTAGGTTTGTATTTGTTCCACCCCTTCCAATGACCAAAATCTCTTATAGCTATCTGGCCGCCTGGGATCAACATTGAGAAAATAAGCTTTATTTTATTTTTTTTATTATTAAGTTGTGTTTAGGCCAAGTGCTTACAGAATGTTAAGCTATGTTCAATCATCTCGAGCTTCACTGTGCTTCCATGATTGTGATGATTTTATTGACATGGTTGAGCCTTATAACTTTTTTTTTTGGTATTCCATTTTTTCTATTCTTTTACTTGGTAATAACTGAATTTTGTTGTTAAGATAAATGAATTCAGTACACAAAAGAGCTTTATTAAATATTCGATATCATCATCATCGTCTAAGTCCTAACCAAATGCATTAGATGAATCGTGAGCCATTAGGTTCTATTTAATGCCATATCCATTTTTGAATTATGAATACTTAAATTATTTCCTACAATTTTGACACTTGTCCTTTCTCGTCTGCCCCTATTATTCCTTTTAACCCTTTAATTTGAAATTGATCACCTTTCCTTGTAAGTAGGGTGTCCACGGTTCGAACCAGTATCGGTTTTTCCATTTCTCTGAACCGAGACCAAATCAATACCACCAATTGATCAGTTGGTTCTTCGATTTTTATATATTATATAAATATATGTATAATACTATATTATAAATAATAAATAATATAATATATTATAAATATTACAAAATATATAATATATTTATAAATAGATAATTATATATATAGTGCATATATATTTATATATATTATATAGATAATATGTGACATATGTTATATATATATATCGGTCAATTCAGTTAACCATCATTTTTTCCTAGATTAACCAAAAATCAAATCGGTCCTTTAATTTTTCAAAAATCCCAAATTGAAATTGAACTCATCAATTCGGTTAATCAGATTTTTCAGTTCGGTTTTCTCGATTTGGTTCGATTATTTGGTTTTTTGATTTTTTATGCACATCCCTACTTGTGAGTGATTTAAGTGGTCTTAATCAAACAATTGAACATTTGTTACCCGCATCTACCCATAAGACATTCCAGCCATAGATGTATAGAAAATATATGTGCTTTACGTGGGACATTGATGGAGAGTCGGGGTGGATTCGAGCCAAGCTGAGTCGAATAGTACTAGGCTTGAGCTCAATTTGAGCCAGAACCTTGAGCTTGAGCTTGGCTCGAGTAAAAAATGCATAAGCTTGAGCTCGGCTTGGCTCGGTTCGAACTCGATTTTGAGAAAGAATATTTTATAAAAATAAAAATTATATATAATTTTTTATTTTATATTTAAAAAATTAAGAATTATAATAATTAATAGTTATAATATTTTTATTATATATATATATATAAGTTGGCTCGCGAGCCTCACGAGTCGAGCTCTAAATAGGCTCGAACTTAGCTCGTTTAATAATCAAGCCACTAAATTGGGCTCGATCTCGAGCTCGAACTCAATTGAAACCGAGCCGAGCTAAGCTTTTCACAAGCCGAACTCGGCTCGTTGCCACTTAGTCATGCAAGTTTCCCTAATTTTATCACCAATTTGATCGATTTATAGGCTTTTCGACCAACTTCATTTCTTCATCCATCTTAACATACACATTTCCATACTTCTTAACCATTTGATATATTAAATATAAATTACGACAAAATAAAAAATGTTTAATGAAAGAAATATGACTTGAGGAATTTTAAAAGCGAGTTTGTAAATTAACATTAATTATCAATAAACATACAAAGTAATCAGTCAAACAAGTCAAACAAACAAAATCATCATTAATCTCAATATTAATCATCTTAATTTATATGAATAGGAGAAGAACTTGTGTAGAAAACAGTTATCAAAATAACAAAAAAAGAGTAAACAGCAGAAAACAGGTAGAAAAGGGTCATATCATCCTCCCAAGAACAGTCAACAGAAATGTTACTATTGTAATCAGGCGGTTAACCTGTACTACCTGTTATCTTATCCTACGGTTACTACTTATACATGTACTTGTATTCATTTCCTTATCCTACGCACCCTTCGACGACCTCAGCACCCCCCCCCCCCACACACCAAAAAAAGAAAAAGAACGAAACAATTTTCCGCCTGCATTTTACAACGGCAAATTTCAACTTTCTATCCCCGAACCCGAACCAAAATAACAGAGCCGTCCGGTGCTGACTGCCACCTTCTTCCGTTTAAACTTTTGCATTTCTACTACCATTTCTTTCAGATTCGTAGCTCAGACGTTACGATCCCTGATCTTATTATCCTGAGCACCCCTAGTATTTCTCTCTTTCTCTCTGGCACTCTGGCAGCACCTTTTACTTTTCTTTCCCAAAATATCACAACACAATCACTGTCCAGCTTCGATTTTTCATGCTATTAGCGTTATTGGGGGATAGAAGAATCTTTTCTCCTCTGTTATGCTAGAGATCACGGTCTGTTCTTCTTCGCATCTTCTGGAGAGTTTTCTCTCGAAGTAATGGAGTTCGTGGGCAGGACTCTGAAGAAGCAATTTCGAGGGGTTCAGGACTTAGCTGGTGTTGTAGAATCGTACGACGAGTCTTCTGGGGTTTTCAAGATCTCTTACGAAGGTGGTGGTTCGGAGGAGATTGAATTTGACGAGGTTGCTTCGATTTTGGAGGGAAAGGGGGAGCCTGGTTCAGCTGATTTAAACGAGAGGGAAAGCCATGGGCGGAAGCCGAAGAAGCGGCGCCTGGAAGAGCCAGAGCAGGAAATTCGCAGTGATTCAGGTAAGTCTACTGATTGTGTGATGACCAATTTATGTTTCGAAAAGGGCTATGAAGAAACCCAAGTGAAAGATGGTTTGACTGATGGAGTATATTCGGAAACCCTAGAGATGGAATGTGAGTTGGGTAGGAATTTGAGGGGAAATGCCTCTGTTAATAGGTATTTAAGGGAAAATGGTTGTTCTGATGGGTTTAATTTGAATAGAAATGTTCCTGTTGACGAAAATTTGAAGAAAAATGCTGATTCTGATGGGGATTTGGACGGAAATGATTGTGTTGGGTCTGCTGAAGAAAGTCCGGAGAAACGATATGGTGTTCTTTTGAATTATAGTATTCACGAAGAAGAAGCAGGAGTAAAGAAGGATCATTCTGGGGAAGATTTCATAGAAAGTGCTCCTTTTAAAATGCATGAAGAAACCCAGATCAAGGAATTCGGCTCTGATGGAGATTTTAAGATAACGTGTACTGTTGGAGTTGCTGAAGAAACTCAAATAAAGGATGGTATTTCAAATGGAAGCTTGAAGGAAGATACTTCAGTATCCAATACATACACCCAAGAGGAGAATAGTTCTGGTTTTAGTAAGGGCAAGCTGGGAAATGCTTGTATACGGATGGTTGAAGAAAGTCAAGAGGATGAGAGAGATCTTTGCGGAGATTTGCAGGGAAATGCTTTACCTGAGGTTGGAAGAGCTACCTGCATTAAGGATGGTAGTTGTGGTGAGCTTCAGTTGAAGGAAGTCAATTATGAGGATGATTTTGCAGTGAAGGGGAATGGAATTGAAATGGGAACCCCAGATAAGGATGAAAATAGTTGTAAGAAAAGAAGGCGGCTTTCTGACAATTTGAAATCTACAAAGGAGAAAGTGCTGAGGAGGAGTGCTCGCAGAACATCATCCCAAATATCTTCTTTGGGTCACACCTCAAGCACAGAGAAATCTTCTGCAGCTGACAATGTGTCAACATCCCCTGCAGTTAATTCTCTATCAGAGGAGAAATCCATTGGCTCAGGTTGTGTTGGATTTGAAGGGCAAGAAAGTAGTCCTTCGAAGTTGGCCCTCCCCCCTTCTTCAAAAACTCTGGATTTAGATGGGATTCCTATTTTTGACCTCTTCTCTGTTTATGCTTGTTTAAGGTCTTTCAGCACTTTATTATTTTTAAGTCCCTTTAGTGTGGAAGCTTTTGTAGTAGCATTGAAATGCAAGTCTGCTAATTCTTTAATTGATTTCGTACACTTCTCTATCTTGCGCACTTTGAAGATGCATTTAGAATTCTTTTCTGATGAGGGCTCTCAATCTGCTTCTGCTTGCCCGAGGTATACAATTTGCTTTATTTATTTATTTTTTTTATTTTTTTGTTTCTTCAAAGCTCCTTAGGGCCATTGAGATACTGATCATTTTTGTTATTCATGGTTTTGGATTAACTTGTTGGTGTAGGACTCTTAACTGGCAGTTGTTGGATCCAATTACATGGCCTGTTTTTCTGGTTGAGTACCTACTTGTTCGTGGTTCGGGATTGAAATCCGGTTTCGATCTTAGTCAGTTGAAACTTTTGGATGGCGATTACTATAAACAATCTGTAACTGTAAAGGTTGAGATACTTCGATGTCTATGTGATGATGTCATTGAGGTGGAAGCTGTAAGGTTGGAGCTTAATAGAAGAATGCGTGCCCTTGACATGGATATCGATAAGATAGGAAACTTGGAGATTTACAAAAAGAAAAAGGATCCCATGGATGACTCAGCCGGTTCTTGCTTGACTGAAGAGATTGTTGATGAAACCATTGATTGGAATAGTGATGAATGCTGTCTCTGTAAGATGGATGGGAGCTTAATATGTTGTGATGGCTGTCCAGCAGCTTATCATTCAAGATGTGTAGGTATTTCCAAGGATCTTTTACCAGAGGGCGATTGGTACTGCCCGGAATGTGAAATAGACAAAAATAACATGCAGATGAAATCAACGAAGTCTGTCCGAGGAGCAGAACTTCTGGGAATTGATCCTTATGGGCGACTATATTTTGGCAGTTCTGGTTATCTTCTGGTGTAAGTATGCTTTTTTTGGTTAAGTATTAAGCTTCTATTGTTGATTTTTTTGTCCCTTCAACTTTTCTCCGTTTTTCCAGCTATTATTACTTCTATTTCTTACATGATTTATCTTCACTTTCAGTTTATTAGAGAATTGTCTTAAGCATATTTTTTCTATCATAGATGTGGTATATGCATGATAGGGTGGCCTTATTTAAAAAAAAACTATGGCATTTAGAAGTTTTTTTTTGTATCTGTTGCCTTCTGTTTTTGACTAGTCCATTCTGTTGATGAAATGAGCACAATAATACAACTAAGTTTGAATTTCAAGCTGACGGTTGGCAACAAATAATTTGGACCAATATTTTTGTGAGCATCTCTCTCTCTCTCTCTATATATATATATATTGCTGCATTTTATCTATTTTTTTATATTTTTAATATTTTCGTTTATAATTTATGATGCCATGGTTGACTCATTTGACCTAGATGGTTGAACTGCTGACCCACCACTAAAAACACTGGTTTTGATTTCCACTAAAAAACATCTAATGCAAATTTGAACGTAGGAAACATGCTTAGGCTTGACTCCAGATGCTGGTTCTCCTATTGTTGAAGCAATCCCCTTGGTCCCTAACCACATGGGTACTCTTTTCAATTCCGTTTTGGTTACTGATGTGTTTTCTATGCTTGAAACAAATGCTCCAGCATCTCGAGTGAAAAAACAGAAGTGGGAGAGAAGGAAGGTCCCTGGTTAAGGAGGGGGCTCTCAGTAAGGGTCTTTTGAAGGGTGTGTTCCAATGAAAATTATTAGTTGGACTGTGAGAGGTTTGGGGAGTGCAAGAAAAAGAAGGGTAATTAAAGACTTGTTAAGAAGAGACAGACCTGATATAGTAATGTTGCAGGAAACAAGTTGGGAGAATTGGATAGAAGATGGGTGAGAAGTGTGTGGAGATCAAGAGGAGTCTGTTGGACCTTGACTCTTTCTTGGGGAGCTTCTGGAGGTTTGGTTACCTTATGGAGAGAGGATGTTGTAGAATCAGTGGAGGAACTCATAGGGAGGTTTTATGTGCCTTTAAAATCCAGAAATTTGGAGGGTGGTTTCGCATGGGTCTTAATTAATATATATGGGCCAAACAATTATAGAGAAATGAATGAGATGTGGGAGGGGCTGTATGGAATACGAGGCTATTTGGATGGCCCTTGGTGTGGAGGGGGGATTTCATGTAATTAGGTTTTGTAATGAATCTAAAAACCCCCAAAGCATTGTTACAACTAGCATGAGGAAGTTCAATGAATTCATTAATACTTGTGAGTTAAAGGAGATACCTCTGTTACAAGGTAATTTTACTTGGTCTAACTTCTAGGAAAACCCTCTTTGTTTGAAACTAGATAGATTCCTATTTAATGTAGGGTGGGAGAATCATTGGAGGGATTTTGTGGCTAGAGCTCTACTTAGAGTTATTTCTGACCATTGCCCCATCCAATTAGGCCCTGAACCTCTAGGGTTTGGACAGTGACCCTTAGATTTGAGAAGTGTGGTTAACTCACCTAGGCTTTGTGCATAAGGTTGGGGAATGGTGGATTGAAGAGTTGAGAGGGGTTTCACAATGGAAGGCAATTAGGTTTCACAAAAAGATGAAGAGATTGAGATCTAAAATGAAGGAGTGGAGCAGGGAGCATTTTGGAAGGATAGGGGACCTTCAGGGAAAACTTATTTTGGGTTGTATTGTAATTCTTGTTGTTATTTTGGGGTCAACACTCTTTGTCTGAGTGGTTGACAATGTAAGATGTTTATTTAATATTCTTAATAAAAGTTACTGTTTTCAATCAAAAATAAAAAGGATAGAGGAACAAAAATCCACCTTGTTGTCTAAGATTGAGGAAATAGACTCTAAAGGATCTCAAAGGACTATGAATGAGCAAGAAAGAGAATTGAGAAGAAATTTAAAGTACTCCTTAAAGAGGAGATTTCATGGAGGCAAAATTTGCGAATAAGTGGATCAAGGAAGAGGACGAGAACACTAAATTTTTCATGCCTTGGCCAATGGGAGGAGGACAAAGAACTTTGTGGCCAAACTAGAAGTGGATGGAGAGGAAGTTACAGATCAAGATGAAATAGCCAAGATGTTTGTGGATCCTTTTAAATCAATCTTTAGAAAGCCATTGAAGAATAGGCTAAGGGTGGAAGGAATTGATTAGTTCAATTTGTTTGGGAGTAGGTAAGTAAGTAAGTTGGTTAGAAAGGAATTTTGAGAAAGGCAGGCAGTGTTTTCAATTTACAGATCTAAAGCACCTGGCTCAGATGTGGCTTTTTATTAGGATTATTGGGATGTGGTAAAAGATGACCTTTTTGAGGTGTTTTAGGAATTTGCAGATAAAAATATAGTGAGCCCTGGAGCCAATGCTACTTTCATTGCATTGATCCCAAGGAAGATGGATGTGAGACCTTAAAGAGTTTAGGCTGATTAGTTTGGTGACTAGCATCTATAAAATCTTGGCTAAGGTGTTGCCCTTTTTTTGATCAATAACAGAAATATTCATTAATTGATTAAGAAAATTACAAAGGAAGGGCGCTAAAATATCTTAACTCCTAGAATCAGCCAGCATGCACCCAAATCATAACAACATTTACAACTGAGCCCAAAAAATAGAGTTCCTGTTCACCCCTTGCCTAGTTAGTCCATCTGCAAAAGAGTTTGCACTTCTTTTTACCTAAGTGCATAAACTTCAATGTCCTTAGTCAGCCACTTAAATTTCCTCTTTTCATTGTTGTAGTTCCAAAGCCTAGTGTTGTCCTGTTTCAGCCAGCCCACCACAATCTTAAAGTCTCCTATGATCAGTTTGTTAATGTTCATGTCTTTAGCCCTTTGTACCCTTTCTAGAGCTGCAAGTATCTCAGCCCTCGAGGAATCTCCCACCCTGATTGGACCAGAGAACATGGCCATTAGATTCCCTTATAACTCCCCCTATTCCGGAGGGCCCTGGATTGCCTATACTACTTCCATCAAAATTCAGTTTACTAAAATTGGGAGGTAGAGGGATCTAAGAAGAACTTAAGGCCTGCTTTGTGGGGGCCGATGTTGCAATTTCCTTTCACTTCCTTAGCAAATCATCTTCTGAGAAATCTGCAAACATATCCAAAGTTTTCAACCAATGTATCACTCTTATATTAGTTACCCTCCAATGCATCGAGTGTATGCTGCCCTCATGGTATTGTGTTTCAGCCTTCTCCAGCTCCATCTCAGCCATCATCTGCTCCTCCGTTGACGGATCCATATCATTTCGATATCCCCATTGTGCTCTGCGAAGGTAAGCGTGCTTGTATTGAACATCCTATATCACGTTATGTTTCAGTTCGCCATTTATCTCCATCATATTGGAATTTTGTATCCCTTCTATCGTCTGTGTTTGTTCCTAGATCTCTTTAGGATGCTCTTCTCTCTTCGGAATGGAAGAGGGCCATGGATGAGGATCTAATCATACTTGGGACCTCACTTCTTTGCCTCCATGGAAGGAAAGCAGTTGGTTGTCGGTGGGTTTACACTGTTAGCATCTTGTTGGTGGTAGTGTGGAGAGATATAAAGCACACTTAGTAGACAAAGGGTATGCACAAATATATGGCGTTGGTTATACTGATACTTTTTCACCTGTAGCTAAAATTGGTTTGGTTCGGGTGCTTATTTCCTTGGCTGCACACTTTGATTGGCCATTGTTTCAGTTGGATATTAAAAATACATTTCTTCACGGTGACCTAGAGGAGGAGGTGTATATGGAGCAACCTCTAGGGTATGTTGCTTAGGGGGAGGAAGGTAAGGTGTGTCGTTTGAAGAATGCAATTTATGGGTTGAAGCAATCTTTGAGGGCCTGGTTTGGGAGATTCAGTAGTGTAGTACAACAGTTTGGGATGGCACAATGTAGGGTTGATCATTTAGTGTTCAACAGAGATACTACCTATGGGAAGATTGTATTGGCAGTCTATGTTGATGACATTATTATCACAGGAAGTGATGAACATAGCATTGAAAAGCTCAAATGGTTCTTACAAAGCTAGTTCTAGACCAAGGACTTGGGGCACTTGAAATATTTTTTGGGCATAGAAGTAGCAAGGTCAAAGTGGGGAATCTTTCTCCCACAATGGAAGTATGTGCTTGACTCGTTGGAAGAAACTGATCTTTTAGGGGCAAAGCCAGTGGATACCCCTATAGATCTGATGTGAAGATATCTAGTACTGAGGGGGAGCCCTTAGCTGATCCTGAATGGTATAGGAGAGTAGTTGGAAAACTGATTTGTTTAACCATTGCAAGACCAGACATTTCCTTTAGTCTTGGATTATTGAGCCAATTCATGCAGAACCCAAGGACAACCCATTGGGAAGGTATTGTTAGAGTTCTATGCTATTTGAAGTGTGCTCTAGGTAAAGGGTTGTTGTATAAGAAAGAAGAGAACTTTCCTTGGAAGGGTACACAAATGTTGATTGGGCAGGGTTGGTTACTAACAAGAAATCAACAACCGGTTATTGCACATTTTTGGCAAGAAATTTGATTACTTGGAAAAGCAAGAAGCAGAATATGGTGGCTAGGAGTAGTGCTGAGGCCGAGTACAGAGCCATGGCCCACACTACATGTGAGTTGGTGCAGTTGAAACAACTATTGTAGGAGATGGGAATATTAGTTACAACCCCCATGAAGCTATTTTGTGACAACCGGCCAGCCATTCATATCTCCTTCAATTCAGTGTATTATGAGAGGACCAAACACATAGAGGTGGATTGTCACTTTGTTAGAGAAAAGGTGGTTAGTGGAGAAATCATTACCCCATATGTGAAGTCTGAAGATCAACTAGCTGACTTATTTACCAAAGGCTTGAGTGGTGCTTGGATGAAATACATTTGTAACAAGTTGGAGTTGTATGATATATATGCTTCAACTTGAGGGGGAGTGTTAAAATATAGTTTTTGTTCTAGGGTTATTTTAGTCTTTTCCTTTAAATTAGTGTTTTGTCTCTGTTCTTAGTCTC